CCTCAAATCCTGAGTGACCAAGGTGTAGTAAGTGGAAAATAATTAGGCATTTGCTTATTCACTAAATACTTGTTAATTTACTATAGTAGATCCTTAGTATTTATAAATATATGGTTCCAAGGAGACCACTACTGAGAAAAACCCACAAATGCTCAGGATGCACAGAGTTCAGTACTCTAAAATTCCTCAATTGTACCTATAATACATGTACAGTAGGTCTGAGCATACATAACTTGAAACCACTACATTACCATCACAAAAATTACTGTTGAACACATTGATACTTCTTACCAAAAACTACTTATTTCATTCTCTGTATCTCCAGTACTGTGGATGCTTAATTCATTTTCCCATAACACTGTCCAACTTCCTCTAGAGACATGCTGTCTTTCAACAGATCTAAAGTTTTCAATCTGTCACTTAAATTAAGCACATTACATGCTCTTTTTGATTTGGGAAGATTACCATAATTTTTACCTTGCTTTTAGGGCACCATTTGCTTTTTGGGAGCTGTATTTTCACAAAATTGAGGGCACAGAAACAGCAGATCACCAATGATTAAATACAACTTATGATAGCAGGACTGACTGGGAGCTTCTCCAAAACAACTGAGCTGTGGAATGTGTGCTCGGGAATTAAATTTTTTTTTAATGTCTTGATTTTTATTTATTTTTTGACCATGTTTGTTCAAAATTGTGTATAATAAATCAAATAAGGTGTGCTTCCTGTATATGCCACACAACATTCTGGGCTGGTAATAAAAGCGAAGAAAATAGAATCCTTACTCCCTTGAAGCTTATATTTTAGTTGAGAGATTAATAAATATATAATATGCTATATATAAATGCCATGAAGAAAAGTAAAATAAGGATAAGAGGTAAGAGAAACAGTTGATTTTGGTAGAATGGTTAGGAAGCCTTCTCTGAAAAGGTGACTGAACTAAGACCTTTCCAGGGTGAAGAAGTAAGCTTTGTCCTTGTTGCTAATACTGCCATGCTAAAGGCAGTAGTACTTTCTCACAGAGATGGCTCTTAATTATGTAGCTCAGTGAACACATAAAATACATGTTCAGTTTCATAGACTCACTTTTTTGAAAACATTTTGTCATGAAAATTTTCAGACATTGTTTACAATGGACACCTATCTGCTCAATGCCCAGACTGAACCATAAATGCTCTACCATCCTATTTTTTGCCTGTCTACCCATCTGTTCATCCCTTTCCTATCACAGGTTTAATTTTAACCTTGGTGTCCCTACCATTTAGTCCGTAACTACTTAAGCTAAACACTTGTAAATTTCTGTTGTCACAGGGTTTTCAGAAACAGACCATTCATGAAAAAATTTTATGTATGTTTTTATATTATTAGTATTTTGATTTTATTTCATTTTTGATTTTTACATGTAATTTGTCAGTCCATTTGGAGGTTTTTGGAGTTGTGGTATTGTTTATTTGTTTAACACATTTGTTGAACAATGCAGTCTTTCCTATATGACTTTAAAAACAATACTAACCTTTCATAAATACTTGGATATTTTCAAGATGTCTCTTCTGTTCACTTAATGTGGCTGTTGATTTATTTTGCTACCACCTCACTTTACAATTTTGTCTTATAATGTGTTTTAATAAGTCATTAGGCAAATCACCCCACATTTGCTTTTTGAGAACTGTCTTATGTCATATGCTTATTCTAGCAAGTAAATATTAGTCATCCATGTTCTAAAATATCTTATTGAAATCTTAATATTTTTATTTCCTGCTTTTTTTTTTGAAAGGAGCCTCTCATCCTCTATGAAACAGATTTTAGTAGCAGTCTTTGATGTGATTGTTGTATGGATGAAATGGTAACAGACATGTGAAGTGTTGAATGTGGGACATCAACTCAGAGCCTGTTCTGATTCTGCAGAACACTCTAAGGTTTATTTGCATCTCACCTAATTACAGCTCATTTCTGGAGTTTTCCAGATTGATTTTGAAGTAAGAAAAAATTAACTTTGGGTTATTACCAGTTCAGAAACCAAGTACATTGGAGCTGGTGAAGTGGCAGCAGCAGTCAAGAACTGTCTCCCTGTTCTTGCTGCAGGATGCTCTAGTGCTGTTATGACAAGTATCCTGGGAATCCTTCATAGGACACCCACCTCTGTTGTGCCCATTCTACAGAGCCGGAAGCGGTCTGGGGTTCAGATCCATGTACACTCCCATGCCACAGTGGGCTGGCATCTGGAACCAGTGTTACGTAGCTCTATAGAAGGATACAGAAGAGGAAACGTGGTGCCATCAGCGAAAGCATCAAACATGTTTTTGGTCAGGGGCCTTTCTAACCACCTGGACATGGTTTCCCAGCCCACAGAGGACACACTCAGCTGTTAGGGATGAGAGCAGCAGCAGTGTGGATCACTTCCCACTTCCAGCATGGGAAGTCAGCTTGGCAACTGCGTCTTATAACTGCTCATGTGTATAAAGGCCCACCAGGACACCTGTGAGCAGAAGAGTGGCACACAGAAGCTCATGTTATCTGAAAGCCTTTGTCATAGTTCTATACAAGAAGACCCTTGGCCTGTGTGCCTGCTCACCTCTCAGTATAGTGCAGTTCTTCTCCAGCAGCATGGCCAGCTACACCTTGTCACTTTTGTCTTAGCTCAGTATGCCTCAAGGACACAGTGTAAGAAAAAAGTACATCTGAAGTCATGCTCCTACAGAATAAAGGGAAAGTCCTTCTCACCACCCCTTCATGGCTCTGAGCCCTGCTCTTCTGCTTTCCCAGGGAAGTCTCCCTGCCACACGTACACCCCTTGCATGTGCAGAAAGGATCTGGAGCCTCAGCACTGTCCTTCCCAGTCTCCTGTGAGCCTCCTGCTCCTCCAAGCTGGATCATGTGCTGAGCTGACTGCTGGTTCTGGCAGTGTTGTCACTCCACAAAGGGAAGGTTTGGGACCAGCCCCATTTTCAGCAGAAATTCCCTCAGATTCCCACTGTTTCTTTTTGATGTGCTCCCTATGTCATTGGAACCTAAGTGTCAGCTCCTTGCATATTGTGGCTAGCACATGCCTAGAACAAGCTCCTGACTCTGGTAAAGGTCTCCTTGTGTGCCTCTTCCCAGGCTTGGCATGGCAGCAAAGCTAACTCTGTTCTCTGTTTCTGTTCTTGAGGACAAACCTGTCATGGTGGGCATTTCTGCTTTGTGTGTTGTCGCAGGATTGGCTGTTTCTTTCTTCTGGTGCCAGGTACAGACAGACTTCCAACAGGCAGCCTTGCTGAGGTTTAAGAAGTATATGGTCTGGAGTCAGTACCTATGATGATGTCAGCTGCCATGCATATTTCTCTACTCTGACGATCAATAGCAAGTGTCACCCACAGTGCACTTCCCTACCCTGTCCTCTATGCAAGGAATTCTTTCCTGCAAAAAGTACAAGAAAGGTGGAAATGGGAAGGCTATGTTTGTTTTTCCCTGAGAAGGAGGATTCCCAGTTTCCTTCTCAGATATACCTGTGGTTTCCCTCTCAGATATACCTGTGGTTTCCCTCTCAGATATACCTGTGGTTTCCCTGAGGACAAGGCTGTCTGCTAGTGCTGAAAAGCCTGCAAGCAGTGACCATTGGGAGAATATTTAAGAATCAACAAGAGAGGAATTGTTTATTTCTTTCCTTGAGATACCATCTTTTTCTCTGGGTTCCCTAGAATAGAGTTCTAGAAGTAGAATTAGCTTTGATATTAATAGTAACTGCTGTAATTTTTTGTCAAAAATTGTAGCTCCACTATTATTTCATTATTTTCAGTGGCTGCTTGATATAGTTTCCATGTCTGTTTTCCTTATGTTGCCTTAGAATGAGGAAGTATAACAATTAGTAGCTCACATTTATCAAGCATTTGCTGTGTGCCATGTTAGGCACTATACATGTCTTAACTCTTAATACCTGTTTTAAGTAAGTGCTGTTGTTATTCCCATTTCACAGGTGAGAAAACTGAGGTACAAAGAAGTTAGTTAACTATTTCAAGATCACAATAAGGAACAGAGCCAGCATTGAATTCAATCTGGTCTCAAGGTCCACAAACTTATTTGCTGGTTTTATCTTGTAATCATTATTTGCACAACAGGTGATCTTTTTGTAAACCAAAATAATGAAGAAGCTGTTCATTTTTATATTGTGTTGAGGGTCTTAGTTTCCATTAGTCCCTTACATAGTTTTTTTCTCATTAAATTATTGATCAGGCTTTTAAAGGAAGAAAAGTACACTTGGCTTGGATTGATTTCTTCTGTGACTGTGAATAAATTTCTCAAGACACTTGGTTGTCTTATTTTTTACATTTTCCATAATAAGTAGACTGTGTGCTCTCTGAGCTCCACCTCGCTAGAAGGGCTTTCCTGCATGAGCTGCAGTAGTAAATACTGAAGCAGATGCTGTGTCCCATGACGACTCATCCTCTAGTTGCCTGTTTCACATACTAAGAGATGACCCATATCCAAGTGGTTCTGACTCACCCACCTAGGTTGACCTCCCTCTGTGTACCCTCTGCACCTTATGGTTGCTGGCACATAGATATGGAAAAGTAAGGTGGAGAAGGTTGAGGTTTTCTTTTGTCTTTTTAAATCTGAGTGCCAAGTTCACTACTTGAAGTTGTTAAGAGTGGTTTATGTTGTGAAGTCTTTAATGAGAAAGTGTAGTCTAATATTGGGAGGCTAATCTAGCCCAAAGCTCCCCTCTCTTTTAATTTTCCCCGGTAAAATATTTGGTATTATAGTCTCCCATTATAATTGACTTATACTGAAACATGACCCAGTATTTTTCATTCCTGCTTACTTGAGTTTCAGAAATTTGGCTTAATGGTGTCTTGTTTTTAATATTTTTCAACTATGTTGAGGTATTATTGATCCATCTCAAATATTTTTTTCTTTCACATTTAGTCCCACTCAAACGTGTTTCACCATACTTGTTTTCACTAAAAATATTGCCACTGTAACATCATCCTCATGTTTTAACTTCAAGTTTTATCTGCCTACAGGAGAATATTAAAAAGCGAGCCTCCATATCCCCAGGAAATGAGTGCTTTAGCTAAAGACCTGATTCAGCGTCTTCTGATGAAGGATCCCAAGAAGAGATTGGGATGTGGCCCAAGGGATGCAGATGAAATCAAAGAACATCTCTTTTTTCAGGTGAAATTTATTGAGCAGATAGGTGGTTGCACACCTCTACTGTTTTTAGGGAGTCTAGAATGCTTGATGAACTGGGTGAATATAATCCCTCTCTACTTATTCTCACCTATGTTGCACTTTTTCTTTTCAAATGACAAAGACTCATTGGAAGGGATCAGAATTCTACTTGTAGAGACCTAAATGGTCTTTTCCTCCCTAAAAGCAGTGGGAGTAGGGAAGATCTGAATAGTTTCTATACTGATTGGCTAGAGTTTTTTTTTTAATTTTTTCTTTTATTCATATGTGCATACAATATTTGGATCATTTCTTGGTTAGAGTTTCTGAATGGTGGTTTCCATTTACAACCTCAGGATGCTGGCATATGAATTAAGGAGACATGTTTATTTCTTGCTTCTCTTTCAGTGTTATTGGCGTCATGTTTTACCTTATAGATAGTGATTTCATCTCTTCCTCTATTCCCAGGAGAAATCTTAGAAAATTCAAAAGCTACCTATTTCTTAGTTACAAATCTATGACATAAAATTATTCATTCATTTTCTTTGTCTCTGTGATAGTGCTTTTCTTCTCAAAAGTCAAATGAGACCATTCTACAGAATACCAACACATCTACTCAATTTAGTTTGCCCTGTTTATTCCAAGAAAACAGAAAAATACTAAATAACTGAAAAAAGTTAAACTGACTGACATGGCTAGTTATTTCAATCTAAATGGATGACCTGGCCTTACTTCCTAAAACTGTGAGCGTATATGGATGGCTTTTAGATAATCTCATCATTTCAGAGCATGGCCTGAAAATATATGGTCTAAAGGGATTATCTAAGCTTTCTCTTCATTCTGTAAGCTTTTGTATTATTACCACCAAAATAAACTAAATGAGCATGCCAAAACAAAGAAAAAACCTATTCTGTTAAGTAAGCTTTCGTGTGTTCATTACTTTCTAAGTATAGAGAAACAGGGCTGTGATGTAGCTCAATGGCAGATCACTTGCCTAACCTGTGTGAGTACCTGGGTTTGATCCCCAGCACTGCAAAAAATAAAACAACACATATATGGGTGTGGGTGTGGGTATATTTGCATATGTATTTATAAAAGAGGGTAAACATTGAAGATCAGACTACTTCTGCACTTTGTATTAAAAATGAACCTCCTGTAATCCTAGCTACTCAGGAGGCAGAGATCAGGAGGATCATGGATCGAAGCAAGCCCAGGCAAATAGTTTGGAGACCCTATCTGGAAAAAAACCCATCAAAAAAAAGGGCTAGCAGAGTGGCTCAAGGTGTAGGCCCTGAGTTCAACCCTAGCACCACAAAAAAAAAAAAAAAAAAAAAAAAGAAACAAAACTTACTTCTACCTCTCTTTAATCATTTTAAAAATTATTACTGTGCAAATTACAAAAATTCAGTAACACATTGAGAATAGAACTTAATGTGTATTTCATAAGTTCATATGGTTTAGAAAGATTACTATTTAAATAGACCTATTTCAAGTATCTTGTTCATAGTTTGGCTCAAAAATTAACAATAGGTTAAAATTCAAGAAACTATTTAAACAAAATACCCTCAATCATATTTTCCTAAGATATTATTCTCCATTGTGAATACTGCAATATTTCTTTGATATTTCTTTAATATTAGAAGAATTTTTATTCTTGACGGCTTGTAATAGTAACTTTTAATTTGCTTAATTGCTTTGACTTTTTAAACTGTTGGTTTTTTTCTAATGGCAAAAACTCTAGGAAAGACCAGAATTCTATTTGTAAAGATCTAAATGGTCTATTTCTCTACAAATGGAGCAGAGGTGGGGAGGATCAAAATAGCATTCATTTTCTACATACTAAACATTTTCCTGCTAACATATTTCTTTAAGCTATCTCTTTACTTTAGAAGTTTCCCTTAATATAATATGTTAACATAATAGCCAAGTACAAATCATTACTTATAGTGCAAATCATTGCAACCACATAGAGGAAAGAATATGAACTGATTCTAAAACCCATTCTAGCTGAAAAAGCCTGAAGATCTGTGATTTAATAATTTTATTTCCATTGCCTCCACAGGGGGCATAATATAAACAGTTTATGGCTGTTGATTAAATTTCCTCAATTTCATCAGCCAAGAAGTACAAGTTTTCATCTTTTCCCATCACTGAAATCAGTATGAATAGTGCTTTTTTCTTAACACTACATAAAATAATAGCACATCTTACTATCAGTGATGACGTCTTAGATGTGAAGACGTGGTAATAGGAGACCTGTAGACTTCAATTCAGTAAATATTATTTGAGGTAGTTTTAAGTGACAGAAGGAACATGAAGGAACAGAGGATTGAATTTGAATAATGTAAAACATGAATTACTCAGTGTCTGACATGGGTGGAAAGGGGGCTTAGATTATCCTTTGGGGTAGTGTCTAAACTGCTTGAATGTGGTTGAATAAGGAAAGAGTGATTACATCACTATGGTAGTATCATTTAAACTTTAGACATAGCAAATGATTGATTCATAGTTTATTTTTTGATCTGCATGGGCAGGAGGAGAACTCAGTGACAGTGCCTCTAGAAAACAATATTCCTTTGGAGTTAATATTCATATCCATAGAGCATTTCAAAGCCCTTTATTGTAGCGTTTTGTTTATTTTCTTTTTAACTTGAAGTCCTTTCTCAGAAGGCTGAAGACAAATGTAATTTTTCTGGTATCTGTAAGGGTGAGCTAGGTGTGTTGGTGCCCCCCAGAGGACACTGTGAGATTCCAGGAGAGGGACAGCAGCAAATTCACTTTTGGATACAGCACTGCTGAAACTATAAACTGTAGTCTAAACATGGGCTCCTGCTCAGAAAAATACTGTTTTTTAATCATTGATTTGAAACATGTGCCCTTATTTTTAGTGTCTCTGCCTATTAGTCAATTAAAATCCTAATCTATGTTTGTTATTCATAGAAAATATATTTGGAGTTTGTTGATTTGTACTTTGTCCCAATCTTCTTTCTCTGCTTTAGAAAATAAATTGGGATGACTTAGCTGCCAAAAAAGTGCCCGCACCATTTAAGCCAGTCATCCGAGACGAATTAGATGTGAGTAACTTTGCTGAAGAATTCACAGAAATGGACCCCACCTATTCTCCTGCTGCCCTACCCCAGAGCTCTGAGAGGCTGTTTCAGGTAATCTCCCAGTGTGCACATGTTCATTGGCCAGATGTTGACATCTTAAAATGGTGGTCCTCAAATCTCTTCAAAATTATTTAGTACAGAGATATTAAGTTCAGATTGCTAACCAAAGCTTATGGTTTGCTAATAGCAGATACTGTTTATGTGTACATTTTTATATAAGGAACTATTAGTTTTATGCCTGAAATTTCATTTTTGTTGAGGCTTTTATATAGAAATTATGGTCAGATTTTTTTTTTTGTGGTGGTACTTGGGTTTGAACTTAGGGCCTCACACTTGCTAGGGAAATACTCTACCATTTGATCCATGCTTCCAGCCCTAGAAATTATAATATGTAATTTTTACCTTTATTCATATATACTATCCTTTAGGTCACAGTGTTGTCTGATTATTTGTGTTCAGTATAAAATCTTAACTGCTTCCCAAGTCGTAAAGACTTAGAAAGGATTATACTTAGAAAAGGTTCTTTATCAGACTTAAGATAAAATATTCTACCTGTTAATTGTCATCATAGCTTTATTTCTCTGACTCCTGTAAGTGCCTGTGGTGTGGTTTAAACTGGCCATCCAAATTGTTCTTGCTCATTACACATCACTGTGTAGCATGTGACTGAGCACTTCATAGATATTTGTTGATGAACTAGTGAATGTCTTAGCTTGAACAGATTAATCATCCATCAGTATATTATTTCTGGTTCACCACATCATTCTGCCATTAGATTTGTTCTTTCCAATAATCAAATCATTGCTGAATTAGAACTAACTTTAGTGAGACTTGTTATTTTTCTGCTTTGAAATATAGTAGTACTTGAACCACTTTGTTTAATATCTTGACTGTATCATTTTTTGAGAAGTTATTTGTGTTAATAAACTTTTTTTTGGTGGTGCTGGTGTTTGAGTTCAGGGCTTTGCACTTGCTAGGCAGATGTTCTACCACTCTAGCCACACCCTCAGTCCTTTCTGCTCTATTTATTCTGGAGATATAGTCTCACTTTTTGCTGAGGCTGGCCTGGACCACCATCCTCCTATTTTACACTTCTCCCCCACACCAATAGCAGGGATGACAGATGCATGCCACCACACTCAGCTTTTTCTGTTGCGATAGAGTCTCACAAACTTCTTGCCCAAGTTTCCCTTGAACCATGATACTTCTAATCTCAGCCTCCCAAGTAACTAGGATTACAGTCTTGAGCCACCATTGCCAGTTATAAGCAAGTTTTTTTTTTTATCAACAATTCAAAATAATTACATCCCTGAGTCAGATTTGGGGTAGAATCAGGAGGAAGTCTTTTTCTACCTTTATTTTTGAACCTGTCTCATTCTACCAGAAGATGGCATTATCTCCTTCTGAAAAGCATTTTTGTTGTTGTTGAATTGAGATAAACCTCATTTTGGATTGAAGATAATACAAAATATTTATCTCAACAACTGTTTGAGTGTTTTTCTAAGAAGAAAAAAGTCATCACAATCTGTTCTCTGCTAAACTATCAAATTGCAAATCTTTATTTTTTATGTTTCCCTGTCTTTTATAGGGCTATTCCTTTGTTGCTCCTTCTATCCTCTTCAAGCGCAATGCAGCTGTCATAGATCCTCTTCAGTTTCACATGGGAGTTGAACGTCCTGGAATGGCAAATGTTGCCAGAAGTGCAATGATGAAGGTATTCAGATGTGGTTGCTTCAATGATGTATTTGTGGTTTGCATGAATGTTTAAATATCAACACTAATTAATGTTCTCAAGTCTAGTAAATTTAGTACATTTATCATTTGACTAAAGTGCTGTTGTAGAAAATATTAAATAAATGGAAATGGCAGGATACATGCCAGAGAATTATTAACATCAATTTGAATGAACTCCTTTTTGCAATGTAAAGGATTATGTGTCTTAAATAAATTGTATAGATGCAAATAGAAATGAGCTAAAGATGAATTTTAGATTATAAAATATTACATTCACAGGTATTAATATTAAAATTCCATACTATTCTGCAGTTTTACTTATCTCTTAGGTATTAATAACATTTTCTTAAGTTATATGATACTGGTTTCTCTTCAGGACTCCCCATTCTATCAACACTATGACCTAGATCTAAAGGACAAACCATTGGGAGAAGGAAGTTTCTCAATTTGTCGAAAGTGTGTACACAAAAAGAGTAACCAAGCATTTGCAGTCAAAATAATCAGCAAAAGGTATCACTAGTTCTAGCAGTCTTTCTTGTGTACTTATCCAACTCAGTGAATTCTGTAAATTAAGAGATTTCTAATGAAGAGGAAACTAAAAGTATGTTGTAAAGCTTTCTACCCATAGGCTTAACTACGTGACTTATTAGTTGATCCATGATATTTGTAACTCTGATCAGTATTTTCTGATGAGGTAATCCATTTTAAATCAAATGGATATGCTTTTGATAAATCTGATAAGATTTTGAGATTATTATGGGAAAACTTTCTTGTGCTAATTATATATTTAATTAAACTTGCTTAGTGATTTTAGCAGCTACTGCTATTTTTATTAGTTGAATGTTTGAAATACTTTTCTCTGAAATTATTTAGCAAGCTACTGGTAGTTTTGAGAGTCAGCTAAGTTGCTTTGGTAACTGATTACTACCTTCATGATTGTGTATTCTTATTACCAAATTGTCAGGCAAATAGAACATCTGTTTCTTTGAATGACTAGATCATTTCTGACTCAGAATAATTTTCTCCAGAAAAATGTCTTACTTTTCTGGTGGGTGGTATGATTCATTACTTTTATGAGAATCTCATTCTGATACTTTGACATGTATATTCTGAATGTACTCTAAATAAAAACAAAGGTAAGATTGGAATGATAATGACAACTTATTGGAAGAGACATGTAGATGCTAGTAGCTATCTCATTCTGCAGAATGGAAGCCAATACTCAGAAAGAAATAACAGCTCTGAAACTCTGTGAAGGACATCCCAATATCGTGAAGTTGCATGAAGTTTTTCATGATCAGGTAGGTATCCTATCTGTTTGGGATCCTTTATCTGTTTGGGGGCTTTTTTTTAAATTTTTTTATTCATATGTGCATACAATGTTTGGGTCATTTCTCCCCCCTCCCCCCACCCCCTCCCTTACAACCCATCCTGCCCCCTCCCTCTCCCCCCACCCCCTCGATACCCGGCAGAAACTATTTTGCCCTTATCTCTAATTTTGTTGAAGAGAGAGTATAAGCAATATAGGAAGGAACAAGGGTTTTTGCTAGTTGAGATAAGGATAGCTATACAGGGAGTTGACTCACATTGATTTCCTATGCATGTGTGTTACCTTCTAGGTTAATTCTTCTTGATCTAACCTTTTCTCTAGTTCCTGGTCCCCGTCTCCTATTGGCCTCAGTTGCTTTTAAGGTATCTGCTTTAGTTTCTCTGCATTGAGGGCAACAAATGTTATCTGGTTTTTTAGGTGTCTTACCTATCCTCCTGTCTCCCTTGTGTGCTCTCGCTTTTATCTTATGATCAAAGTCCATTCCCTTTGTTGTGTTTGCCCTTGATCTAATGTCCACATATGAGGGAGAACATACAATTTTTGGTCTTTTGGGCCAAGCTAACCTCACTCAGAATGATGTTCGCCGATTCCATCCATTTACCAGCGAATGATAACATTTCGTTCTTCTTCATGGCTGCATAAAATTCCATTGTGTATAGATACCACATTTTCTTGATCCATTCATCAGTAGTGGGGCATCTTGGCTGTTTCCATAACTTGGCTATTGTGAATAGTGCCGCAATAAACATGGGTGTGCAGGTGCCTCTGGAGTAACCTGTGTCACAGTCTTTTGGGTATATCCCCAAGAGTGGTATTGCTAGATCATATGGTAGATCAGTGTTTAGCTTTTTAAGTAGCCTTGTTTGGGGGCTTTTTGTTGTTTTTTGTTTTTGTTTTACCACTCAGTTGTTACTACATATGACATGGAAGGACAGAGAGAAGCAAGAGCTCAATGGTGCTATCACAGACTGCTGTGTGCTTATTGCCAACGCAGCTGCCACCCACCATAGCTTAATTACTTCATTCCTTTCAGCACTAGGCAGTTTTGAGCCTTTAATGTTCTTTTCACTTCTAAAATAGAACATATAGAGTCTTAATACCAGGTATTGCAAGCTAAAGGACAAATAAGAAGCAGAAGAGCAAGAATACTCTCTTTCCTTACCTTATTTCAGACAGCAAAGTCTGTTCAGCCTCCAAGCTAAGCCCTACTGCTCCTTCTCCACTTCCCAGTCCTGCTTTTCAACAGGATGCTAACATAGAAGCATGCCAGCTGGGATATGGAAGGAGCATCATTGTGTTTCGTCCATGTTACCTCTCAGCCCTTCCCACTGCTACCTCCCATACTTGAAATGCTCCATTTTTTCCCCCTCTGACACTGGGTTGGATGACACAGTCCTGCTCAGGAAAACATGGGGGCACAGGAGCTAAAAACCAGTCCTGAATATGGTTTGCCCAAATAATACCAATGAAGAAACAGATTCCTAAGGATCATGAGATTTATACCAGGTATTGCAAGCTAAAGGACAAATAATACCAATGAAGAAACAGATTCCTAAGGATCATGAGATTTATACCAGGTATAAATACACTGGTATAAAACCAGTGTCAGAGGGGTTGTGTCTAAGATCACACAACTTAGTGAAAATCTGGTAGGGCACTCCTCATTTGTGCTGCTGTGACATCCATGCTAGGATAGCTGAGACCTAATTCTCTGCCACATTGAAGTATCCTGAAGCACTGTGACCACGAGTGATACATCGTGATGAAGTCAGGCAGCAGCAGGAATAGTATCATAACTATAATAATCACATGCTTTATGTGGTCCATGTATTGTACTAGAGACACTCTGTAGTCAATCCTTATGAGGTGAGAAGTTACAGAAGTTCAGTAACAAGAGTTTCATAGTGTAAGTGGTTAAGGCTGGAATCTGAGACCAACCAGTCCAATTTCAGAGCCAGCAAGCTTTTAATTACTTTTCTCTGCCTCCTTAGGGGAGGCAGAAACAGCCCATTTTTTATATCAGGAAATGAGCATCCAAAATTGGTATTGTCCTTTACTTGCTTTTTGGTTCTTATAGTCCGAAAAGGAATGCCTTTGAAACAAAGACTCAGGGTGAATCCTCTCCCTGCTCATCCATCACCTCTCACCTCATTGAGCTTCTCAACTCCATGAGTGTCCTGTCCACTAGAGGTGCTCAAGAAGAGGCTGAACAATATCCTGTTACTGCAGGTAGAGAGGAAATTCATGAATCAATCAAGGAATCAATGGATGACCTTAGATATCCCCTCTGTGGTTTTGTATCTGTCCCTAGCTATATTCCAAGCCAGACATTTGATCTCTGACCTCCTGACTAGTGTCACATCTCAGGAATTACATCCCTAATTTTTTTTATCTATTTCACAAGCTTATGAATTGCTATTTTTATATTCAAGAGTTATCAGAAAATAAATTATCTTATGATATAATCCTATATATACTGGTATGAATACAGTTAACATTCTACATGAAGCTGGTAAAATATACCCTCAGTTTTTTTCCCATGATGGTGTCACTAATGGGTAACATCGATTAAGGGTGGTCTTCTGCCTTCAACTGTGCATTAGTACCGCTCATTTTCTGTGCCATATTCTATGCTTTACATACTCTATGAGTTCCGTATTGTTGCTATAACAAAGCACCATAAACTTAAAATAATACAGATTAATTACCTGAAATAATTAGTGGAGATCAGAAGTCCAAAATCAGTCTCACTGGTTTACAACCAGGGAGTAGGCAAAGTAGACTACTTCTAGAGACTCTAAGGCTCAATTTGTTTACTTGCCATGTTCCTTGGCTTGTGACTCTTCCATGCAAAACTGTAATCTCTTGCTTCTATTGTCCACATACCACAGACCCTGATGAATAATTTAGGATAATCTTCCCATCTCAAGATCCACCTTAACTTGCCAAGTGTGGTGGCTCATGCCTGTAATCTTAATACTCAGGAGGCCATGCCAGAAGAGCGTGACTTTAAGGTTAGCTTGGGCTGCATAGTGAGACCCTCTCTCTCTCTCTCTCTAAAAAAAAAAAAAGGAGGTACTTGTCTTTTTTTTCTGTATGAGGTAAAAAGCAGATTCTGGGGATTAGGACATAAACATCTTTGGAGGGCCATTATTTGAGGAACCACACATAGATTTTCTCCTTGTTATCTACAGTTTATTGATAAGGGTCCTAAAGTTCATAGACGTACAGTAGTATCCTCAAGATAATAAGGAACAAAACTGCCTGGCATGGTGACACACTCTTGGAATCCCAGCATTTATGGAGGCTGAGGCAGGAGGATCACATGTCCAAAGCCAACCTGGGCTCCATAGCAATATGTTGTCTCAAAAAAAAGAATAGAATTGACATTCAAATCCAAGCTTGATTTTTTTATTCTTTTCTTAAAGCTCACTGGCCTATGCTTATAGCAGACCTTCAACCTTCACTTTATTTGTCTAACATAAAAACTTGAATAAGCTTAATCTCTTGTATTCTGGGAACGGTTTTCTTATTGAAAATGTTGTTCACCATTTACAATTTGTCTAGTATGTTCAGGATAATATCCTTATAACTATTTGATATGAAGCAATTTTTCTGAGTTTTGGTAATTCCAGAAACATTTGTTGGGTAATGTCAGTGCTATAATGCATAACACCTGAATGTTGACATGGTATTTATTTCTAGACTATTCATGTATTGAAAGCAAATATAAGTCCTCTGTCCTTTGGTATCTCCTGTGTTATTTTCTTTATGTAGATATATGCAAAGCATAGTAAAAATGTAAAACTTACAAAATAATTAAGATAATGCTGCTGGAATCAAAAGCAGTCATTTAAAAAAATCATGCACAGTGGGTTATGGGTATTTGTAATGAGTATTAACAGGAGCACTGAAGCTAATTTGTTGAGCCTTAACATTATCAAACAGTACTTTAAAGAAAAAGAAAGGAAATTTTTCATTAAATGGGTTTGCCAGACCTCATGTGGGTAGTTGCCCATACATAATCTGTAATCTAAATTACTTACAATAGATGACTTCAGATTATTGTCAGCATTGGGTCACACTTTAAAAAGAAAAATTGGTACTAGAGCTGGGGCTCAAATGGTAAAGCACCTTCCTAGCAAGTACAAGGCCCTGTGTTCAAACCCCAGTACCATAAAAAAAAAAAACTAAAAAAGAAAAAGAAAAATGTATGAACTACAGAAAGAGGGTTGAAATGGAATTCAAATTAAGGAAAGGAAGTCAAGGAAATGATACATGAAGATTTCACTGCAGTACTTGAAATTTCCTATCACCAAAATAGAATTCTAAAAAAGTCACGTTATCCTTCAGCTCTTTCCTCTAAAATACAAGGGTTCCTGTGGGTTGTTTTAACAAGGGTTTATTTAAATTTACTGGTGCTAGATAACAGTCAATACTTCATGCAGTAAGAGTTGTCTGCTTCTTTCCATTAAAGCTTCTGCATGATTCTTTTTTTTAGCTCCATACGTTTCTGGTGATGGAACTTCTAAATGGAGGAGAACTGTTTGAACGCATCAAGAAAAAGAAACACTTCAGTGAAACCGAAGCTAGCTACATCATGCGGAAACTTGTTTCCGCAGTAAGCCACATGCATGATGTTGGAGTAGTGCATAGAGATCTGAAGCCTGAGGTATAAAACCATGTGTTCTCTCTTATAATCCAGCCTACTAATATTATTAAATATCCCTCAAATAGTTATGAAGCTTTTGTTTGAGTCCCCTCCCCCTGCAGAGGGCTAAGAAGATATTGGAAAATACGTTTCTTGGATTTTCTTCTTTTGTCTTTTCTATGTCAGTCTAAAATAAATTTGTCTCTTTTTTTGCCAGCTGATCATCTTGAGGTTATATTTGTAAGTGTGAGAGCCTTTTATGGAAAAAATACTTCATGCAACAGTTGTGGACTAAAAATAGTCATGGAAAATTTTGTAGCAGAAAATAATATCCTTCTATATGTGTTCCGTTTTGGAGGGTTTTTTTTAATGCTGTATTTTGAAAACGTATTATTCATAATCAAATTGATTAGCTCCTGAATGGAATATTTATAATTCTAGTCTGCATATGTAAACATGAAGTATTTTCTTGTTTTAATAAGTTATGCCATCCTTATATGTGGTTTTCTGTGCTCATGTACTATGGTATTTATAGAACTGCACAGCAATGCAAAGCAGCAGCTTTTTGTATGTTTATTTTTATTTCAAAAGGTTAATAAAGAAGTTTCTAACTCAGACTGATCCTTTTTTAGAATAGAAATGAAAATTCCTCCCTTTTTGAAAACCAACAAAATAATAATGAAAATTGAAAACAAAAACTAGTAATTTATAAAAAGATAGCAATGAATCATCCTTTCCATACGCAAAATTATACATATTTCCTCTTCAAAATAGACCTTTATTTTTAGTTTCCATGTGATTAGATTGTATTTTCAAGTATATTTAAAATATTAATATATTTGATGTCTTTTTTTAAACCAGCCACTAAAGAATATTTCCCTGAAAGTAGTATTTTTGCCTTTAAGTATCTTGAATTATTAGAGGAAGAGGATGTTTTAAAAATGGAAATCTGCAGGCTAGGGTGTGGCTCAAGTGGTACAGCACCTGCCTAGCAAGTGCAAGGCTCTGAGTTCAAACCCCAGTACCACCAAAAAAAAATGGAAATCTGTACATTCAAATATTCAGCCATCCCTCAGTATCTGTGCAGGACTGGTCCCAGGATGCCCAACAGATAACAAAATTCAGGGGCACTCAAGTCCTTTATATAAAGTGGCATACTGTTTGCACATAACCTACACAACATCTTCTCATATACTTTAAATTCTGTAGGTTACTTGTAATGCCTAATGCAATGTAAATGTTATGTAAATAGCTGTTATACTATGTTTTTAGGGAATAATGACAAAAAAAGATGTCTGTATGTGTTCCGTACAGCTGCAGTTTTCCTTTTAAAGTTTTCAATGCATGGTTAAATTGACAGTTGAAGAACTCATAGATATGGAGGGTCGGCTGATTTATTCCTTTAAAAGTATTTAAACTTCTGCCTGTGAATTTTCTGTTACTTTATTCACATTGCTAGTAATTAATCAATGTGAATTGTGTTTCATGAACTTGCAACTCTGATATCTCCCCCTCTGCTTCCTTCATCATAGTTCTCACTCTCCTACATAACGCCCACTGAAAATATGGTGCTCTGTACATTGGAGATTAGTTATCTATTTTTAAATGTGAAAGCACACCACTTAAATGTTTTCTTGATAGACAAGGAACAGGCATGTAGTTTTTTTAATGGAAAAGATCTGTTCCATGACTGTATAGAATTCATTTTCACATGTTTTATTCTTTGATAACTGGCCATCTGTCATCTCATGAGTCTCAAGTGAGGCAACTGTCCTCTGAAGCAGAATTTAAATTTTCCTTTCCAGTTTCCTGATAAAAAGATCCTTAGATAGCTTAATTCTTCTTACTTAATATAAGACTTCTTCTTTCATTTGAAATGAAGTAGAGTTATTGGATTATTGGGGTCACTCCACTGCAGTTATAGTTTTAAATCAATGTAAATTTTGCAGAAATGAAAATGTACCTTTAAACTAACATTTTCATAATCATATACCTTTCACTTTGACTTTTAAATGGCAGACTGTATTATTTCCAAACTAAAAGTTTAATCCCTTTCCCACGTAGGATTTTAAGATCTGATTATATATCTCATGGCATTCACTTTCTGCATAGGCAAAATCCTAAGTTCTAGGTGAGAATCAGATAAATTTAGAAGCTGGCTGACATTCCTAGTAGACTGCTTTGTATTTTCTCAAACTGGTCCAATCATCTTGAAAGATTAAGAAAAGTTACATATATGAAATTAGTTTTAAGCAGTACTTGAAATGAGGATAAAAGGAAATTGGTTGCTTCCTACCATTCCTGACCATGCACACATACCTTCATGGAGCACTGGCTCTAAGTCTCCACTTTGTACCTTAGGAGATGAAGAAGTAAGCAGTATGCTCCAGTTTTAATGCTCAGTAATAGAAGGAATGGATTAAAGTCATCAAATTAAAGTGAATGCCACCATACCTCATTTCCTCCATTTCAAGAACTAAGATCAAGGCAAATCATCCTTAATGTGGAATAAACTTAGGTCATTAGCAGCACCCATGAAGACAGAGGCCAGAGGTGCTTCCCATTGCTCTGTGTAGCCCAGTGCCTGACACTGCAGAGGAGCTCAAGCTTACTGCCCAAAGATATCTCCCAAGCATACGTCAGGAACCTTGATGTGACTGCAGTTGTCACATATTGTGTGATAGAAAATTTAAGAAAACTTTCCATTTAATTGTTTTGCTTTTCTTTCCTCCCATTTTATTCACCTTTTATGTGAAAGGCTTTTCTTTGAGTCAGTCAAGTTTTCTATGGTATCTTTTGTTTCAGCTAGAATAATATTAACAAAGCAAATAATGTTCCAGAGCTGGGAATAATTCAGTCAATATTAGGGCATAACAGATTTTGTTAGGATCTCTAAAGAAAGTGTAATCAGATTCATTTGCTTTGGATTCTAGCTTGATTAAAATGATTTGTACTTCAGTACAGATAGCATTTAGTAAGCATATGACAAGTGCAAAAGTGGTACACTAAAGCCTTAATGCTGTAGAAACCTTGGTGGATGAATGATTTAAAATAACATTTTCTGGATGGCATATCTCTGAACATCAAAGTATGGAAAAGTATACGTAATGCGTATCTTATCTCCACTATGTTTTCTTTACTAAACTATACTAGATATTATATAGCTATTTTATTCATGAGCTGGCACATCTCAAAGAGCAGGTTTGCTTCCATACTACTGCAATAAAGTGAATATCACAATAAAGCAAGATATAGGAATTTTTTGGTTTCCCAGTACATATAAAGGTTATTTTTATATTATAGTATATTAAGTGTGAAATAGCATTATGTCTGAAAAAATGTACAGACCTTAATTTTAAGATATTTTATCCCTAAAAAAAAATCCTGACAATGTTTGAGCCTTTAGTGAATCTTAATTGTTTTGCTGGGGGAGGCTTGAGCCTTGGTGTTGACAACTGCTCGAGGTGGTGGTGGCTGAAGGTTGGGTGAATGTGGCAGTTTCTTAAAATAAGACAATGAAATTTGCTGCCTTGGTTAACTCTTTTTTTCATGAATGATTTCTCTGTAGCATTTGATGCTGTTTGACAGTAGTTTACCCACAGTAGAACTTTCAAAATTGGAGTCAATCCTTTCAACCCCCTCTGCTGCTTTATCAACTAAGCTTAAGTGATGTTCTAAATACATTGTTGCATTTCGATAGTGTTCACGGCATCTTTGCCAAGAGTAGATGCCCTCTCAATCAGTCACTTTCTGTGCTCATCAATTAAAAGCAACTCCTCATGCATTAAAGTTTTGTCATGAGATTGTAGCGATTCAGACAACATCTGCAATCTCCACTTCTACTTCTAGTTTTCCTGTTACTCATACCACATCTGCATTTACATCTCCACTGAAGTCTTCCGGCCATCAGCTATCCTTGAGAGTTGGAACCAGCTTCTTCAAAACCCCTCTTAATTGATATTTTTATCTTTGCTTATGAGTCACAAGTCTTCTAGTGGCATCTAGGATAGTGAATCCTTTCCAGAAAGTTTTCAGTTTACTTTCCCAGACTTATAAAAGGAATCACTATCTATGACATCTATAGTTTTATACAGTGTATTTCTTAAATAGTAAGACCCGAAAGTCAAAGTGATTCCTTGACCCACAGGCTGCAGAATGAAAGTTGTGTCAGCAGGCATGAAAACAACATTGATCCCATCATGTATCTCCATCAGGGATCTGGGTGACCAGGTGCATTGTCAGCGAGCAGCAATATTTTGGAAGGAATTTTTTTTTCTTAGCAATTGGTCTCAACAGTTAACTTCAAACATTTAGTAAACCATGCTATAAAAAGATGTGCTGTCATCCAGGCTTTGGTGTTCCATTTATAGAACACAGGAAGAATAGATTTTGTATAATTCTTAAGGGGCATAATAATTATGATTATGATGATAACTCAGACCCTAATAATAATAATTCAGAATAATGAATTAGCATTGGCTTCAACTTTAGCTGCCTTACCCCTAACAAGAGAGTCAGCCTGTATTTGAATCTTTGAATCTTTGAGGCACTGACTTCTCCTAACGATGAAGGCGCTAGTTGGTATCTTCTTCCAATAGAAGGTTGTTACGTCTACACTGGAAATCTGTGGTTTGGTGTAGCCCTTCCTCAGTTTTCTTAGTTGATCCTCTAGATAACTTGCTGTAGCTTCCCCATATTCATCTGCATTTTCATATTATATAGAAACTATTTCTTTTAATCAACCTCTGCTAGCTTCAAACTTTTCCTCTGCCACTGCCTCAATTCTCTCAGCCTTCATAGAATTGAACAGACTTTAGCCTAAGGGAATGCCATGGCTTTAGCCTAAGGGAATGCAATGCCATGGCTGTTTGATCTTGTAACTAGACTACCAACTTTTTCCATATCAGCAATAAGGCTGTTTTGCTTTCTTATCATTTCTGTGTGTTCACTAGAAAAGCACTTCGATTTTCCTCAAAAATCACAACATAGCTAACTGGTGTAAGAGGCCCAACTTTGAATCTACCTCAGCTTTCAAACTGCTTTCCTTGCTACACTTAATAATTTTTTCCTTTTATTTAAAGTATGAAGCATGTAACTTTCTTTCACTTGAACACTTAGAAGCCATTGTAAGGCTATTGACTGGCCTAATTTTCAGTGTTGTTGTGTCCAGGGAGTATGTTGGCCTGAGGAGAGGAAGAGAGATGGGGACATCTTCAGTGGTGCAGTCAGAACCGTTGTTTAAATTAAATACATTTGTCTAAATTAAATTTGCAATAAATGCAATTCATGATGCCCCAAAACAATTAAAATAGTAGCATCAAAGATCACTGATCACAGGTCACCATAGCAGACATAATAATAATGAAAAGTCTTGAAATATGAAATTACCAAAATGTGACACAGAGACACAAATTGAATACATGCTGTTGAAAAATGGTGCTGATAGATTTCACAGATTTCCACAAATCCCTTCAATTTGCTAAAAAAAAAAATGTGCAAAGTGCAATAATGTGAAGCACAGTAAGACAAGCTATTCCTGTATTTGCCTATGCCAGGCCTTGAGCACAGGGTCATAAATAAGGTGGACACATAGTCCTGCCCTATGGTTGTGGTCTAAAGGGGGTCAGAACTATAAACTCAAAATGTAGAAAGGAAAAGTAAACCATGCTAGGGGAAAATACAGCAAACTCTCACTTCACTTAGGTGGGTTGTTAGGGTAGTGTCTCTCTCTCTCTCAGTGAGGACTAGGTGTACAGGAGCCCAGCCAGAAGGTAAGTTGTTAGAGGAAGTGAGAGACAGATTCAAGCAGAGGGAAGAATAGAAACAAAGGGTCTGAAATCATAAGAGGCATGGTGCAGTCAGAGAAAGTTTCACATAACATCATAAAACACAAATATTACAAAAAAGTAAAGACACCCATTTGATATCTGGCTCCCAGACCTTCCCCATGACACTGTGCCTGAATTACATTTCAGTACACAGATCATAGAAAATGTCCTATACTCAGGATCAGCAGATGCCTTGACATTTTAAAGAGAAATTAATTGAAGTATTGGCATCTTACAGAATTTATTATTCACTGATGAAAATGACAATTTGGAAATTAAAGTAATCGATTTCGGGTTTGCACGCCTCAAGCCACCTGACAATCAGCCCCTGAAGACCCCATGCTTCACCCTTCATTATGCAGCCCCAGAGCTCTTGAATCATAATGGCTACGATGAGTCCTGCGACCTGTGGAGCTTGGGCGTCATTTTGGTGAGTTCACCTTAATACAACCATGAAGCCTGTCCAGTTCTTTGGTGCCCTCACTACTTATCTCTCTCTTTGTCGTTTTTCTTAAATTTGTGAAAAAATGGGCAAATTAGTTTCTTTTCCAAACAACCAATTAGCAGTTTTAGTGAAATAATTTCCATTTCTTATAACTTATGTAAGAGAAATATAAGATTTTGGTTTATTTTTGAATATTTAAGTTACCTATGTTTTATATGAATGAGAGTTGTACATTTTTTTAAAACAAGCAAATTTTCATAAGACATTATATTGGATATAATGTGAAATAGGAGAGTGAGTCAATACAAAACACTTAAAACACTATTCTGTCAGATTGCAGGCTAAAATGGTAGTTATAAATTGACAAATGAATAGATAAAGCTAGAATCATTTATGGAAATGTACAGTAATCATGGTGAGCTTGCTTTTCACAAGATGTGCTTGGCTGCTGTGATGAGAAACTAAGTGTTAAGCTAGAAAAATCCCAAAGTGTTTTTAACCTCAAAATAGCTTTACTTTTTCTGCATATAGTTCATAATGCATGATCTTAGAGGAAAACTTTCAGACAGTGTCGAAAGATACAAGGTACAAGGAGCAAAGTGAAAATCACTCACAGCCTTTCTTAAGATATTGTGCAGCCCTCCCTCTCCACCTGCCTCCCCCACCGTGTGCTTCTTTACATCTTCCAGCATGTTGTTCTGTACACGTATGCATATGTGGGGTTTTCACAAATGGGATTAGATTGTACTTGTGGTTTGAATCTCAAAAATACATTTAACAGTTTCTTTACTAATGAGCAGCTAGTATTCTTCCATTTCTCAGCACTTATAAACTATAAGAATAAACATTTTTATATTTGTTGGGCTTTGTCTCATTATTTACTTGGGCTAGATTCCAGGAGAAGGATGCATACATCTTTATTTTAGCATAAATGCCTAGATTTCTTTCTAGAACATGTATCAGGTTAAGTTCTCACCAACTGTAGGAGAGTACATTAGATGCTATTAATTTTCATCCTAGCTGTACCCCATTGTTCTTACAATCTGCATGCTTACCTTCAGTGAGTATTCAGTCTGAGCATCTTTCATGCACTGGCTGTTTTTAATCTCTCTATGAATTGTTCTTTATGAGCATTGCTTGTTTTCCTACAAAGAGGTTTTTTTTATTGATTTTTAGCTGTATTAAGGATTTTAATCCTTTGTATGCCACCAATAATTAGAAATGTTTTTCTGCTTATCCTTTATTTGAAAACTTTGTTTATAGTAATATGGGATTTTGGTTTTGTTTTTAGAGTAGTTTAAATAGAGAAGTGTTTTTGTTTCCATGTAGTAAGATATGCCAGTCTTTTCATTTATGGTAGTGGCGTTGGTGTCAAATTGTCACTCCAGCCCTACCTTCAACCTAAGATTATAAAAATATCCTCCTAAAATTTCCTCTGAAATCACTCTATTATTTTTATGCTTCAATCTGTACTCCATCTGGGATTTATTTTGGTGTCAGTTTATTTCCCCCATGGCCAGCCACTTGTCCCTGCAGGATGGTTCTTTATTTTTAAACCTTATATGGCTTTCATCTGAGCACTTTTAAGCCATCAGTTATCACTTTCAAGCTAATCTTACATTATTTGTGAATAGGATATTTTAGTAAAAATGAGCAGCTAACTTCTGTAGATTTGAGGGGTTTAAGGAATTAAATTGATGACATTTTCATTAGCAGCAATGTCCTAATAATATAAAATATATAAGTAAAAAGAGCCCTTCATTTTTAGTATTAATTCTTGTTTCCATTATAAAAGAGTCCTCACCTTTTTTTTTTGGCAGTACTAGGGTTTGAATTCAGTTTGCTTTCTAGGCAGGTGCTCTACTGCTTGAGCCATGCTCCCCACCATTTTTACTGGGGCTGCTGTGAACTGTTATCCTCCAATCTATGCGTCCAGAATCATTGAAATTAGAGGCATGCACCACCATGCCTGGCTTGTTAGTTGACATGGGGTCTTGTTAACTTTTTGCCCAGTCTGGCCTTGAACCCTGATCCTCCTCATCTCTTAACTCCTGAATAGCTGGGATTATAGGCATGTGTCACCATGCCCAGCCCCTGAGACTGCACTTAAACCTAGACCAATTATGACTATTAAGTTCTTTAAGGTTTTAAAAGAGTCTTAGACATGCAGAGAGATCTTTAAAGCACCTAAATGCCATAACTGTTGAAACAACTTTCTGTAAAGGCATAGGAGGAAGCAGTGCAGCACTCTAAGTCTAATTGTCAATTTTTAAGAAAAACAGGGGATCAGAAGCAAGTTAATTGTACCACAGAGCATAGTCACAATGTCTAGATTGTGGGCAGTCTAGAGGACAGTCACTAGTTTCTTTAGGAAGTACAGTGTAAGAAAAGATAATGTAGGAACATGTTGATTAAAAAACAAGAAACAATGTTTGCATCTACTTGAATCTTGATATCAAGCAAATTCTGACATAAATCCTATTTATTAAATTCAAATTCTCAATGTATTTTCTATAGATACTACTACAATAAACATAGCATATTGTATATGTGTATATATACACAACGTATACTACACAATAAGGGAAATTTAAGCATTATTAAATACTGAATACTACAAAAGAATGACTGCTAATTTTAAGTATGATGGTGTTGTGGTTATGGTTTGTAAAAAGTCTTGCCTTTTAGAGATATGTGATAAAATAGTTACAGAAGAAAATGACAAAATTAGTACCTATCAAAAAAAAAGAATGCTTTGCAAACTTTTCCTTATAAGTGAATGCATGTCTCCTGATGTCTAGATAAAAAGCCTGAATTCTCCCAAAGCAAGCACAGGATTTATTTGGAGTCTCCTACTTTAGAGACAGATGGCCCTTTTGTATTTTATATATAATAAACATATTTTAATATGAGGATATATTGCCCCCATTGGATAAAATACGTATTCCAGGAAAATGCATCATGTAGTATTATGTGGCTTTGTTTATAACCCAGTATATACCATGAATGTACAATCCCTGTCTGAAATGTGCATGACTTTAATTAAAATAGAGCTAATGCAGCAAGCATATTAATCTGCTTGTGCTGCTATCATAAAACACCACAAACTGATTGGCTTAACTAGCAGAAATTTATTCTCATAGTTCTGGAGTCTGGTAGACCAAGATCAAGGTGCCAGCAGGGTATCTAGTAGGACCTTCCCCTTGGATCATATCCAGCTCCCTGCTTGCTGTGTGCTTGCCCACACAAAGAGGGCTCTCTGGTGTCCATTCTTTCATGGACAGTATTCCCTTTGGGTTAGGATCCTATCTTTGTAACCCTAATTATTGCCATAAAAGCCCCACTGCCAAATTCAGTTACGTTGGGGATTGGGGGTTCAACATACAAATTTAGGGGAGATACATTCAGTCCATAATATATAGTATTAGGGACTGGGCTGTAGCTCAGTGGTATAGTGCTTGCATAGCATGCGCGAGGCCCTGGGTTTGATCCCAGCACCAAAAAAGAAAAAAAAAAAGATCATAATATATATAGTATTTTAAAAATAAAGCATTATAACATACCTGTGAAGTGGCACGTAATTCCACTTAATGCATCTCTTCACTAAGTATTTACTCTGGAGAGATTTTCTTTTTTACTGTTTTACAAATTTTTATTTTGAAAATTTCAAGAGAATGTAAGGGAATATTATAAACATCTAACATTTTGCAGCATATTCTTTTTTCTTTCTTCATAATTCTCTTATGTACATTCTATCTCTCCATATGTGTGCACATATATAATACACACAGACACATGTATATGTGTATATACATGTGTGTATGTGTATAAATATGTGATTTTTAATATACCATTTGCAATTTGCTGGCAAGATTATTCTAAACAGTCTTGACTGCTAAATAATCAACTGAAATTCTAAGATCTTATTCCCCCATGAATAAAGGGGGGGAGCTTCTTTAGTTATTAAACTAGTTTTAAATTCTCGATATCATAAAGAGCCATGCCACTTTTTTTGACTTTGAATTATGTTGGTTGCATCAGTGATATAAG